TCGCGGTGTTCGTAATGGGTCCAGCTTGGCAATTCAAGGGTTGGCCTTTCGATGGCAATCCTGTTGAAATTTTCTCAAAAAGTACTTACCCTTCTTTCATTATATTAATGAAAAACATTCATTTATATGAATAGTATATTTTATGCAGTATATTTTTATTTGTATAGTCTGTGCATTTCATTTAAAATACGATGAAATGAGGCTGGACGCAAATGTAGCTCGCTGGGCGGTCACGGTGATTGAATTAAGTCGAACAAAAAGACATTTGGACCGAGCTGCATTGATGGTATTCTGGGAACACCTTGACAAGTACGTATTCACTCAGAAAAAAAAAATTCTAAATTCATATGTATACATGGTATCTCATGTAATTTTTTCTCTGTGCAGACACATGATTAAAAACAAACCACATCTTCGATTTTAAATTGAGTGAGACACTAAGGAGGGCGCACGATTTTCGCTGAAAAGACAACAAAAAGAGAAACAAAAGCAACATTGTACATACTATCAAAGAGATTAATATCCGTGTACATATATGTATGTATCCACGAAATGCTAAAGTTTGTCGCATGTATCCCCTTCGAGAAATCCGCAAAAAAGAAAAACTAATTCCCTAAGGCTCCCTTTTAACAAGAAACATAGATCACACGCGTAAACGTTATAAATCTTCCGATTCATTTTTACACACGGTATTTCTGGATTGCAAGATTAATATCCTATATATAACGTTCACGTAGTGGAAAAAATCCTTGATTATGATATCTACGGTTATTCTAGCATATACTGATGTGCCTATCGTTAAGCGAACAACAAGCGTTATTATTCTTTAAAGACAGGAAGAACCTTATATTTGGTATATTCGTTCGCGTAACAAAAACAAAACACATGAGAGATTAAGAAAAGGAAAAAAAATGTCATATTCACGGTGCGGTATATTCCGTGAAACGTTTATTAAAGAACCAAATAAAGAAGAATCTATACATGTCATTCGTGTATCCTGGTGTTTGTCTTTTCATCCTCCATCCACTGTTTCATAGTATAAATGAAAGAAAAATCTTTTCACGAACGAAAAATAGTACGGTTCCAGACTTATAATTCACCACACGACGTATTGGGGGAATTCCCTACGGGGATTAACCTAAGCTAACCTATACATTTCGCTTTCGTAAAAGCCAAAGTAAATCGCTTTGGGGCATCGATAGTTGCTGCACGATATTCTCGATGTTTGCACAGACAATCGAATCTTCTTAACTCGATTATTGCCGCCCTATTAGGTTAGCGATAGCCATCGCCTTCACTGCAAGTAAGGAACTTTCTAACCAGTTTCCAAAGAAAACTTTGCTTAAGAAATACCTAAACAAAATACGGTCACTCTTACAAGCCGATTTCTCACAGGGGCTACGTGTTGTAAATAACGTATAAATAACCGGGCTATTTACGTGGCTCACCCGCAAGGCAAGTTTCATGGCTTTGTTTATCCCTAAGTGGCCTTACATGACAAAATTAAATATTAAAAAAAGGACGAGAATTAGAAAGTTAATAAAAATGGACGTTTAAGTTAATCGTGCAATTTTTGTAAAAGTTAATTTAGACCGTCAAATACTCTTATACATACTGCGAAAACGTTTTCTCATGACAATTTACCACAAAAAGGTTCTTAGAATTTACTTAGTGTCTAGTTCAAGTTACGCATCTAATCTCTTATAATTCGCAATGCTTGTTAATATGAAATGCAAATATCACCGGTGGAGCGTCGAGACAATCGATCCGTGATGAAAAAGAATCGAGTCCCACGACTTTTAAAAAGTAGCATGAACCACACTGACAAGTTTTATGTCACGCCTGATGATCAAAAGGTTGAAGAGATCAATCGTTGAAGTGTTGAAGTAAACAAAGCATGCCATGAATATGCTCCGCTTCGTCCGAATCGATCGTGGTGAACTTTGAAGATTAAGGTCCACCGATCACGGAAATTCCCATGTGCTGGTAGCAGTACCGCCAGGCCACATGGATGCTTCCACAAGTTCACGTGGAAATTTTACACACGATAAGCTGGTAACTGGTATAACTGGTCAACCATAAACGTTTTATCAGTGAAAGGGTACACGGTGACTCAGAAATCCATGTTGAATCATAAATCAAAGGATCCATTTACGAACCTAGTCTATCCTTCATTAACCTTTAATTAGGTTCGTTATACAAAATGATGTAACTATATACGTACATATAAATTTTCATCATTTTTTTGCGTAATATTTACTATTCCTCAATGAAACTAGTACTAACTAATTTTATAAGCAATAATAAATAAAAATTAAGAAATATTTTAAAATTTATTTAGTTTTGTTTTCATAACAAGTTGAGTAAATGTTCTTAAAAGAAAGGTATGTAACAACTGAGCAGTGTTGCTAAGCAATGTAATAAAATATCCTAGAAATAACACAACTGGGAGCACCTTGCATACCTAACTAAAGGTTAACCTCTCAACTCGTTACTTGAAAACGGTTCTTTTTCCAAAGTCGTCAAGAAATAAACAAAAAATACTAGGCCATCCAAAGTTTCCACACAAGGTCATCTTTTAACCAAAAACACATGAATTTTTATGGATTTTCACCAACAGGTTAGGGGAACTTGTAGCTACACTGGGCACAATTAGGCTGCACACAAGGAATCCCAGGCAACACAGGTGGTAAATGAAGGAATCCTGGTCTTGGAGGAAGATGATCAGTGACTTGAGCATACACATGATCCCTCAGTTGCTGTTGAGCACCAGAATTGAAATAATTATTATATTGAACATTTAGAGCCACTCCTTCTTGATCATGCTGTCCACTATTCTTAACTGGCAACGTTGTACAGGCTGTTGTGTCTACTATACTCTTTGTAAATTGGTCTGGTACAATATTTAATAGACAGTAACTGTCTCCATAGAGATTTCTGGACAGACTGGAGTAGATTGGAGCCAACATGGTGCCTGTGAGTTGTTCATCAGGCCTGGTCTCATTAATGCTACTAGGAGGTCTAAAAGCTGACACATAGGAGCTGGAGTTAAGACCAAAACTGTCACTGGCAAAGTACTCAATGGCTTTCAACAAGTCTTGGCCACATCTTTGTAACACAAGCTGCAGCACAGACAATTTTGTATTTGGAAAGAGGCGAGCTAGAGTTTCCACCGAGGTCTGAGACACATTGCTCTCCTTTGTCTCCTCTGGAATGTTAAATACCAGGCTCTTGTATTTTGGTGGGTTCTCATTCACCTGTGGAGAGGATATTGATCAGTTGGGTTTAATATTTTTGTTCAATCTTAGTCTGAGAGCAGTATTACCACTCCAAACACTTCAAATATAAGAATATTATCTTTGAATAACTCTGGACCACCTAATTTATTTGAATTAACATTTTTGGGCTACGTACAGGAGAATCTTGGTCCTGGTCTTTCATAGAATTATTCTTCTTCGATTCTTCAGTCTCTGAATCATCATTCTGCACAAGATCCACCTCTTTGTTGGTGTCTATGGCTGGCTTAGGCTCTGTCACTGCCATGCCAAATATTTTCCCCTGTGGAAGTCGATTAAGTTTCTGTCCAGTGGCTACTTTGGCCATTTTCAGGGCAATGGCGTCCTCTGCTGCTTGTTGCCTCTTTAGAGCCACCTGGTAGTGGTTAAAATGAGGTAAATTGATTGGATTAAATGGAGAAAATGCAAAATACGTTACGGATTGGCAATGAAAAATGAAGTCGGATCAGATCATGACTCCGCAGCCAATTTATAAATGGACCCGCCGCTTAGCCGATACTGCATATGTGTTTTCTTAACGGCCAATGTCAATAGAGATACATATGGAACCATTTGGCACGTGTTATTCCCGGCCGGACCACCCACTATATTGTTTCACATCGCCGGGATTATTGAGGAAGTCTGACAGGCAGTCCTTCTTTTAGATTTTACACTACTTCCAGAAAGAAGATGAAGTAACTAAGAATGTCACTGTTGAAGATTCAGGAACAGTGATTGTGAAACAATTCCAATGCCCTAAGAATATTACAGAATATTGCAAATCAGTTTAAGATAATCGAATAAATTGAATAGTCTAAATTGAATAATTTAGAAGTCTTTATATTTGAAAAAGATTCTATTTATTAACGGTAAAATGTATCGAGGAGGGTCTCTATTTCTCTTATTTTTGAATATTTTCTTTATATTTAATTCATGCATTTCAGTGATTCGTCTGTAAATGAAATAACCATAATCAAGAGGCAAATCAAACAAATTAGCGAAACGCTAAACGACACCGTATCAATGGATAATATTTTCCGCGTTCCACGTAGCGTTGTTTGAGAAGACGAGCGAGAATACGTTTCCATCGAACGACGGATCGAGAGGATGGATGAAGTATCGAATGTCATAATGCCTATGCAAACAGAAATGAAACGCTACACCGAGCGTTAATGGATTTAATTCCTCTTCCCCTCTTCGTCACTCTTCGTAATTGACTCTCTTTTTCCGACCAAAACAGGACAGGGGGAGGGGGGGCATCAAGTGGTACAAGTGCAATGGAAACTGAATATCTCTTTGTCATTAGCCCCCCACCCCCGTGTTTCTTTTCACTCCGAAGTCAAGAACTTCGAAAATAATTCTCCCCTGTCTGGTAAATATCGAAGGTGACAGGATTGACCTTTTTTTCTGTTTCCACGCGCTTCGTTAATCATTGCCGATATGTTAAAACGTTTCTGACACCATAAACGCACTATAGGCGTGCTTAACTTTATGATTTTAAGTGTGCGCGGCCTTATGGGTAATTGAAGCATTCCATGCATGCAGAAAAGTCTGATAAAATGAAAGATAAATTTGATCAATAAAGTTAAAATTGTTAGAAATAAATAAAAAACTTTGGAGTTGTTTCTTAGAGGAAGTTTTACCTGAGCAGCCATCACTCTTTGTCTCTCAGCAATTAAGGAACATTTTGGACAGAGACACTCGCGATAACGGCACTCTCTTTTGTGGCCCCTGAGCCACGAGATGAGGCCATGGTTTCTACACCTAGCACACTTTGGTCTTCTCTGCTTCAGTTCACCCTCCACGTCCTCGTTCTCCACTCTGTTCTTGCCCTTTCCGCGCAACATGATCTACTCTGATCATCCACTGAATGTCTAAGCTATTTCACCCAGCGATCCACAGACTTCTTAATTTTAATTAGATTGACAATGAATTGGAGCAAGAAAGAAAATAAAAACAAGATTTTGCTGAGAATAAAGAAACATGGAGAACCTAATAGTATACGAAAGATAAAAATAGAAATACTTTAAGAAAAAGTATATGTGAAAAATTAGCAAGATCAAGTACAATTTTATTTGAGAATAAACAAATGGAACCTAACAATAGATGAATTACGAAAATGAAATAATTTCAAAAGTACAGGGTGCTTAAAAAAAAATGTTAACACTTATTATGGAGAATCTCTTCTCTTCTCCATAATAAGTGTTAACATTTTTTTAAGTACCTTGTGAAACTTTACTAATAAAGGGAACAATTGTACCCAATAATAAATGATCAAGATGGAGTGAAATAGAAATAGAAGTTATTAAAATAGATAAATAATTTAAACGGTTAAAAATATGATAAGTCTTCACAGATAACAAGGACACTATATTACTTAACACTAAATGAACAAGTAGGGTTACTGTTAATCTGTACTAAGAAATTGCAAACTAGATAATGTCTCACAACGATTGTTGACGGCCAACTGAGTGGCCAGCCAGCCGAAAGAAATCTCGCTCTAATCTCTGGCAACATTTGGATCTATCCTCGATGGTACGCGATTGGTTCAACACTGTGTGCACGTTACAGGCGAGTCTACGTGATTCCAGCATCCCTCAGGAGGAGCAACAAGACAAACATCCACAGGACCACCCTTTCTCCACGATTGGCTCGACAGTGTTTGTTCTCCTCGCCACTCCTACTCGCTGACTTCTCTCTACGGCGACTTCGTGACACGCTGACACTTCTTGGACGTGAAGAATAACGAAAAGAGGCCTTCTAGCATCCATACACAATGTTTCCTTATAACAGTCCTGCTATGAATCATATTCCGTTGACCAATAGCCCAAAAAATGTGCCATATCGTTGGAAGATTCATTCTTGTTAAAATTGGTTATTAATAGGACTTCAAATTTCTATTTTTCCTTTAATAAATATTATTATGAAATTAATATAAAGAAATGCTATTTTAGAGTAATAGAAAATTGAGAGATATCTAAAGACATCAAATGGAATTGAAAACTAAGTCAATTGATCGTGCAATAATTCCTCAAACTGACGAAGATAAAAATTGACTTCTGACGAAAAGGAAAAATAAAAAAAGTATGGTTAAAATATTGTGAAAAATAAAAAAACCACATAAAACGGTAAAGATTATATAAAGGTTATAATATTTTGTGTCATAGAGGCCAGGACCGGAAGTGGAGGGGCTGATTACAGAGAAAAAATCCTCTGCCAAGAATCAAGATTGTATAATTCGCAGTTTTATCTCTTTTTTTCATTCACGAGTACAGATTCGTAGTCAGTTAACTGTTTCTGAGTGTGGATAATAACAATAATGAACGAGCCGTCGCAACAATAAATCGGTCATTCGATATCTCGTATTCTTTCCTTTTTCTCTTCGTTCGCTAAATATTAAACGTTCATTGTGCCATGCTAGACACAATCCCGCGAGTATACAGTGGAAACGCGTTGCCATGATATGTGATTCCTTCATTTTCGTTGATAAATAACCCATCAAAGGTGGGAGATTAACCTCCTTTTCTCATTAAGTTTCTCTCTCTCTCTCTCTCTCTCTCTCTCTCTCTCTCTCTCTCTCGGTTTTTGTGATCGAGTTCAACATTCAGAATTTATTTCACACATTCTGTACCTTTTTTTGTATTTTTTACTTCATCCTGAGCAGATGGATGATATATTTTTATTGATATGATATGAGAGATATGACAGGTTGGTTGATGTGACGTAAATTCGTGAATTTTTCTGTTTCATTCAACTTGATCACCGTCAGAAAATTTTTACTACTTTTTCTTTTTTGACTTACATTCCCACCTTTAATTCTGTTATATGCTTATTTTTTGAGATTCCCTAAAACGCTGCTTAACTTTCCTTTTTTTTTACACTGAAAATTTGCAGGGAAGCGAGGTGGCCAAGCATTTATTAAAACTCGTTAATGCTCCTCTCTTTCTTTTCTTTTTTTCGTAAAATAACGAAGACATGGATGATGATTTAGGAGAGTGTTGTTTTTTTTCTTTTTTTTTTTTTTTTAAATCGATATCTCACTTAACAACAAGCTTAAGCCTAAGTAAATTCCCATAAATAACAGATAACGTATCATCTCTTCCCCCATACACAATTTTTTGGCACGAACGACCCCTATTTTTTATTTTCCATTCGACCGTGGAAATGAATTATTCGAAAACAAATTTTGTTTTTAAAGTTTAATAACGATAAATCGATTTTTAAAAATCGATAGAGTCGATATAATCAATTCTCTTATTGGTTGGAATTATCCTACGGGAAGAACAACGAAGAAGAATGGAGTAGAAAATTTTTAAACACACCTCACAAGGATTTGAAACTCGGGACATTCTGATAGCAAGCAAGCATCTAAGCAAATTGCCACTGAACACTATTACTTCTTGTTCGATTTTCTAAGTACTTATTACACACTAGCTATACTTGTTATATTTTTAACTGTGATTTCTTTACTATTTTGTCTACCTGCATCTTGTAAAAATTTATTTCTTCAAATTCTAGATGCTTACGGTAATTACTCTATAATAAATGCTTTCGATATTGCAACAAGGTTAGATTTTAATGCCACTCTTGTTTCCTCTTTATTTTTTGTTATCAATTCATCCCCATTGTCTTTTTTACTTGTACCATTTCTTTTTCTGTAGATTGTATTTTTAAACATTTGCCTTGCGCTCAGAAATTTCTCTTCCATCGGTCGTATTTATCTTCGAATAACGATCACGATCCAGTTATGAAATATCAAGGTACATACATACATGGACACACAATAAAAATTAAAGCGTAATATCATACGAGATCCATTGAGATTAATATTTTCTCTTCTTTTCTTTTTTTTTTTCTTTGTTCACGGTCGTGCGTGCCTTGGCAATTATAACGCGATAAAAAATCGATATTCTCGATGTATGCGTGTAAGTACGCTGTACTGCTTGCCGTGTCATAAAACGTTTCAAATCACAGAGAACGCGCCACGAATCTACGCGCACGCGCAGTAATGGCAAGCGTTCTTCGAACGAGGACGAAATGTGTATAGTTTCGAATTTTCCTTCCAAATAAATTGTTCGTCGCGAGTAAAACCTTCGAATTGATCCTTAAAAAATTCCAAGCGGTTGATATTAAGTATAAAAAGAAGCACGATTTCACGATGCGGCTAAAAAAGAGGTATCAACGTTCGTAAAAAGGAGCACCAACCGTCGGTACAGATAGAAAATCGAATTTTCCCGCGGGAAAGATAAAAATCGTCAAAAACACGATTGTAGGTTAACCTTTGGAACTCATGAAGGATTAAATAGTGGGTTATGCTCGCCAAACTTTGTGAAGCCGTTAAAAGAATGGAAATCGACATACTATAGTGTAGAAGAAGCTCACAATTCGTGTAAATCACACTGATTGGCCCCGAAAAAATCATAGAATTCGATTCCTCGATTTCTTATCCGCATTAGTGTGTGTTTTCATATTATTTTCACGTCTCTTTCTATAACTTGTCGCCCTTTTGTTCGTCTCTCAGCTTATCGAGGGTCGATTTCATAAGGTCAGATTCGCCTTTGACTAGACTCTATTCAACCTTGCTGCTAAATATAACAGTAAATATATCTATGTACAAACACTCATACACAGATACGCGGGTGCACGTGTGCATGTGTACGTTTGTGCATCAGGTTACCGGGAAATTAATCTGTCTTGCTTAAAGCGACACTGTCCATTCCACCATCATAATCTTCCTCAACCGTACAATATTTTTAAAGTGAATTTTATCATGCATGCTCAAACCGAGCAACTTTCTTCGTCAACAGAGTCATCGGTGACTCGTCAAAACCATTATAGAAAATTCTATGTACAATTTACCATTAATAAGCCCATTGAATGGCAAACAAATTGTGTATGGTGGTGAACAAATGCTCATAAGAAAACTACAACCACTTCATACCTATCTTTGCCAGATTTTATGCAAGCTAAAGTATTTATCCAATGTTCCCCAGCCTATAAAGTACTTTTTGGACTCTGTACCTCTAACAATTAACAAAAAAAAACTGCCTCCTTTCTATGTTAATCCTTTATGACAATAGCAAGAAAACTAATGTTGACATACATGGTCACTAAGAAGCACGAGACAAATAATTAAGCTAACTTCTTTGTCTACCAATTTTATGGAATAAGATTTAAATGATATTGTGAGGCTTGGAGAACGCTGAATCAATCATGAAACCGGCCCTCGTTCCATCAATAGTGCACGCACGTATCTGCACGTATGCTCAACAGTTACAATACAGGATATGTGTTCCTTCAGTGAAACAACCGCTCATGATTCGCCAAGATAATAATAATAATAATAATAATAATCGTAACAATCACACTGATTTTTTCTTTTCACTATCGTAATATCGACGGGATAACCTTTGCCCTGGTTAATGTATCTCCCTTAAAGCTATCATATGAAGGTGGGATCGTCGCCATGGATAGACAAGATGGCGGCTGCATACAAAATGGCTGGAACGGCAATTCGTTGATATTCACCAGAATACGAGCAACGTAGACATACTACTTCGCCAGATTATACTACTTTTACTGTCCACACATGCCTCCGTTACGATTATTCTAACTAAAAGGAAATCGCCGCTTCCACGAATACAGAGACATCGTCGGGCAACAACTGAATACAAAAGAAACTACAGCAATCGATTGTTCCAACAAAGTTAAGACGGAAGTACAGGCAGAATTTTCCCATCTGACGGACTAACCATATCTAAATATTGTCCATGCAGCTGGTCTCTAAATTTTTACGAGATATTATACTTATACAGCGTGATTCACTTAACTCGATTACTTCAAATTACATCTCGGTAAGTATCCATTTTAGACCCACTGTATCTAAACATTTCTTTACTCAGTGTTCGGTACTGTTTCGATTTCTATCGAAAGATAGGGTATTCTCAAAAATTGAGTACGTAAACGATGTAGAAAAACAATAATCATTGTAGTATACGTATTCTTGAAATAGTACAACTTTTGCCTTTCATATTTTTTTCGTGCAGTGAATAGTTCAACAGTAATTTAAGATTAAATCAGGTTAAGTGTATTCTGAGATAAACCGGACATACTGTATAGGGTGGGACAAAAGATTAGAGGTCAGCGATGGAAACATTTGCTCGAACTTTTCTTACCATCCTCATGGCATAACAATAAACGCGATTAGAGAGATAAACAAAACACTCGAATTGAGGAAAAAACAAACCCTTCAGGGGGAGTCCCTTTAATTAGCAACTCCTCGCTAACACTACACGCCCGCGTCCTACGTGTGTACGACATACAGAAGGAAAACATTAAAATTTGGGTCAACATGGGAAACGCGTATGGCTAATAAATCTGTGTATATGTATACGTACAATGTGTAACATAAATAACGAACACGATTTACGTAGATGTATCTACATATTTTTCAATTGTACTCGTCATTTTTCTTACACCCTGTATATAAGTGCACGTGTGTGTAAACCAGTGTTTATGTGTCTCTGCATCATCCAACGTGTCGAGTAATAAATCTTAATTAGCATCGTTACAAAAACCTTACAACTATTCAACAAAAACCGATCTCATAACAACTTTTACGTAGTCTTGTAGTTTCTCAAGACCCCCCCTCCCGCCACCCCATACGCCGCGCGCACGCACGCACGCACGCACGCACGCACGCACACAACACACACATATTTCCATAGAACGAGAAACTCAGCGACACCGATCCCCAGTGATAATTTTGCAGTAGTCTCGACTACGATGATTTTCGTGAAAGAGCCTATGTTTATTTTTTACTTTTTTTTCTTTTTTAAATGGATCGTTAAACAACACGTGGTCGAGTGACTAGAGAGACTTTGTACTTGCTGCTCTTTCAGGAAATATCCGCTCGTTTTATTTTTATTTTTTTTTTTGGTCACGAAAGGGACGACGATTCTTGGTCGAGTTCGGTTCTTGGCGTTTCCGGTCAGAACGATCGCGTCCCTTCCACATAGTAAGCTCGAGATTAGCTAAACGAACGGTCACGTTGGATCAGACGAGCCAACTGGTACAGAATGGTGCCGGCGCGTGCGCGCCGTTTGTCTCATGAAATCTAGCAGGCGGATCGAGTACGTCGCTCCGTATCAAAATTAAAAAATCTATCGGTAGTATAGAGTACATTCAGTTAGAAAGAGACCACAGGGTAATCCTAATGTTCTGAACCCAAACATTTCTCCGATAAGTTTCTCCAAACATAACCTCAAAATAATCTACTAATCTCTGCAGGGTTCAAAACGTACCTCTAATCCTATAATTTTGCCAACTTTATCCACTTTCCTCGAAACATAACCTCAAAAAACTTCAAACACTTTTGAATCCTCTCGAAAAGTTAATTATTAGCTTTTTAATGGATACAGAGCATTAGATACACCCTGTATAACACGTGGTCTCGTAGATATCTATCGTCCCTTTCGGTCGCGCAAAGCTAAACTAACCTAACTACTGGTCGTGTCGAGACTACTGTGGCCTGCGACTCGCCGGGTCAAAAAATCAGCACGAACAGCATTTTCTTCGAGTACTGCGACTGCTGACAGATCTTTCCTAGTTTCTTGCCTCTTGCACCGTAATTTTTCCACGATTATGGTTGCTCTTGTCGCAGTAGGTTACATCACGGAGCACTTTTCCTTCAGACTGATTGCGTTATTGCTCTGCACCGGTTGCAAAGACACTGATCGGTTCTTCTCGAGCATCAGAAGGTCCCGGAATAGGGCATTCACGTTATGATTTGTCTTGGCGGACGTCTCTAGGAAGCCACAACCCCAGTTCGCCGCTTCAGCTGCGCCTTCGCTCATCGATACCTCGCGTACCGACGGACTCTCGTCGCATTTGTTCCCAACCTGTCGATTAATGGTGGAAAACCTTCTAGGATCGATTTTGAATCAAAAGAAAGCATTAAGAAACTATTGATCGATATTTTTGACAGTTCGATAGATTGAGCTAATATGGTTGTCGTATAGCCTAAGCTTTTGTATGTCTTTTTTTTTAAAGTACAGTAGACTCCCCTGTATAACACGAATTCCTATAACGCGCCAAAGATATCGCGACTACTGTTTTCATATAACGCAATTCCTCGTACAACGCGTTAAATAATAAAATATAGGAATTTCTCGCATTTAAAAATTAAATCTACTTAAATCTACTTATATGTTGAGCATTACACTGTTTTCTTCATCGTTACCGACTTCTTCTGTTTTATAATTATTTCTGTTTTTTGTTTATTACATACATTAATAATATGTATTTTTAACCCAACAGCGAATATATGTCAGTTATTTAAAGTTGGCATGGCAATAATCATTCCAAACATGTTACTTTAGATTATTCGCGTTATACGAGAAAAATTCTTGTACAACACGATTTCCTATAATGCGAATTCATACAACGCGTAATGTATTAACCGCGTTATACGGAAGTCTACTGTATATACAATAGATACTTCGAGTCTTAGAGGGATACAGATAGCCAATGAGAAATAAGACCGTTAAAAAATAGGTCTTACCAGCATTATAGGTATCTGCGATGTATCCTGTCCCTTGAGTTCCCTAATAATGGCCCAGATTGGTCGTAGCTCCTCGAGGCTTTGCCGCGAGCACACCGAATACACCAGGATGAACGCGTGACCTTTGCTTATGGAGAGCCGCTGCATCGCGGGAAACTGATGAGACCCCGTTGTGTCCGTAATTTGAAGCGTGCATATGTTTTTATTGCAGCTTATCACCTGAAATGTCCATTTTTCCCGAATTCGAGCATCTCTTCTTACTTCTCCCTTCCCTTTTGTCGCACGCTTCTCGTCGCAAACACAGCAAGAATCTCAACAGTTCCGCCAACGAGGCGTATTATACGTATACTTTCTTTTTCGAAGCTCCTTCAATAGGAAGCTTGCTTTCATTGCTCTCAGCGATCGATATTGCAACAGTCGGTTAGTGAATAATTCAAGCTTGTTACGAAATTGATCAATATCAAGACCGTCATTGATCAATATCAAGACCATCATTGATCTGAACTATCCACTAATCGATCTGCAATTTCAATCGCAGCGCGATCTATAACCGTTTAATTAGCGTCGATAAAGAAGATTGATTAATTTTTATCGGCAATGGATACAATTGATATTCCTTCATTTCTCGTTTTTCTCTATTTATATTGTTTTGTATAATTGCACGTAGTCTACATAGCATAATACAATCTATACACTGGAGAGGGCATCGTTAATTCTTCAATAATGAGACAATCATTTGAAAGTTAGACGTATTTAAATGAGCCGGAATTGAATCTCGAAGTCGACCTAATTATCTCAAGTTATAAGAACCGAATTTGAAATGCAAATTAAAAAAAAAGGAGAAAAGAGAAATGTGGTCGACATGCATCGATTATTTACATGTGAATTTCTCGATTACCGAACGAGATAACGGCCGAGAAATGAACGATTAAACAAATGATCTTGCATCATGTATGAATCACCGATGGAACGTCAGCAGTTTACGTCACAATCGTCCCTGCTACTTATCTAATCCGGAAAATCTCTTACCACTGTCCGATATACCAAGTACCTATACTACTTATGTCGCCTGTCCTATCCCATTCTACGTAACTCGTGTCATTGTTCATCGAACGTCAATTTAAATGATAAGAAATATACCTGACCCTTTTGATTTGCATGATACCTTTATTTTTCACAAAATCTCGATTGTAAATCGAAGGTTATACGTATATTCTAACCTTGTACAGATTATTTCAAGGTGAAACAATATTTCTGTAGTAAAATTCGCGCCAATTGAACATAACCTACGTTGAACATACTCGCCATGACACCCCACGAATTTATTCACTCAATTTTCTCGAAAATTAAGAATCGTGCAAAAAGAATTCACTCCACATTTTTTATTCACTTTTCCACGACGTTTAATACTATGTAATTTTTTTTTATAAAAAATAGTATAATCTACACGTAAGATAAGGGTTCACGCGACAGTGTACGAAGTGTTTCTAAACAAAATATGAACAGTCGAATATTTTGCTGATTTTGGTAACCTAACCTACATAAATTGTTATGTCCAAAACCGCTAATCATAGAAACACAATTCTTTCTTTTTTTTACTCGAAAGAATTTACATTTCACCCCAGAATCAACTTATTTATCCTGATTAAGGGAGGCCTTGTATATTGTCGTGTAAATCCTCAATCTGCATATGAATCCCTACATTCTTCTTGCAAATTAATATTCACGTGTTTCCATTGGACTTACCTGTCTGTAAGTATCCTCGATAGTGGGTATATACGACTCACGAAAGGTTCCTTTCACAAAACGCAGCACGAGGGAACTCTTGCCAACGCCACCCGCCCCAAACACCACCACGCGATAGTCGTTACTCTGCTCCGGCATTCTGACATCTGCCGTCCCGATGATTTTAACCCCCGCCGACCGGGGTCCCTCCTTGATATCCTTCGAATCCGTCTGCACAATAAAAAATCATTAATTAACAATTTTCCAACACTCATCTACTGCACACATTAAATTATCACTCATCGTTCTCTTTTTGATTTCGTAATTCAACAACTTAACCTATACGTGGACTAAATGTGAACACAATTTCCTCCACACATATATATATATATATCTTCATTTTTCTTACTTTTAATTCTCACGTTCAGCGCACGTCCCCTAACATCCTGTTGCTTATTACAGACATAAGTGCCACTTAGGAGTATATAAATTGGAAAAAAATTGACTCTGAACGCCCACGGTTTTGCGTAAAGGTTGCAGCGAACCACCTACGTCCCTGTTACTTTTTTGTACTGTTTACACTAGCGAATATACATAGCCTTCTTACAGGCCGTGACGTGCAAAGGAAAACCACTCTGAGCAACGGTGCAGTCGATACAATGGCAGGAAGCCTAACGTAGGGTCATTGAGCTGCTCTTCAGCGGCGACAAATATCGGAATCCCCCAATACCACTACACAATCCTCTTACTACCGGTAATCATCTGTCTATACGTGCACATAGATTCAACAAGTGACTTGTTTCTGGCTCGAGACGGCAGTAATAGTACAATGATCCTACGTCAAACCTCGCTGGTCGAATTTATCTGATACAGTAGAGCGGTGCAGTCCTGACCACGGTTAAGTTGCGTCACGAGACGATAAGATCACGAGATCCCATTGACCCCCATTGATGAGGGCCTGTGAATGATAATATAGTGTTTGGTAAACCTGGTCAAACAGACGACACTGTCGTGCACCTTCTCCTGACCAAAGATTGGTTTGGAATCTTGATAGACGACTACAGTACCCTTGGAGAAGTCTCTGGAACCACTGACGAACACCTTCTTCGGGTTCAAAGAGTTAGTACACACAATAGGTTGAAAGATGTGCCTTGTCAGGGTCAAGAAATCTTCTGATAGACCGTGGGGGCAGGCAACGTGCCAAACGAAGAGCCTTCTCGAACCGGGCGACAACAACCTGGCCTGAACGAGGATTCCTCTTCAAAGGACGTGGTCAGTGTTTGTTGAACGTCGAGAAGCAGTGGTTAATTAGGGTACAATCGATCGACAAGTGTTACGCTCGATTTCCACCAGCCATGGAATCAGCATATTCGCAGCACACCGCTGTTTCTCTATGTCCGGCCACTTGGTGCCGTGAACTTTCACGATCTCGAAGGAAAACGAAGCGCACGCCCTCCGCACCGGGGCTCACCCCACTCCACCTGGGGGAGTGTGTGTATGTGCGTTAGATACGTGCGCACTACACCAAAAGTCTAGCGTAAAATCAATAACGCTTAAATGTACCAGTATACACGCACGTGCACAGGCAAATCGCTCTTACTTTATGGCTGTTCCTTTTTGTTTCATGTAATACTCCTTAGAACAGCTGTTTGATGCATGTTGAAGTGAGTGGCTTGGGGTTAAGGACTACTATGGTTCCTATAAAACTGCTCAAGGTTACAGAAAAGGATTTAGGACAGAATTAACCTGGGAGCACAGAATCAGGAATGTAGAAAGAAATGAAAGGCATATGTACAATTTTATTGCTCGAATAACACATTCACAGAAATTTCACTGGCTGTATGTATTCTAATTCTTATATCCTAAGTCTAAGAATTATAACTTATAAAGTATGATACATGGTTAGATGGTAATGTTCTTGTATAACACAGTCATTTAGTGTTCATGAAAATACTACAATCACATTGCAGTCGATGTTGATTTAGTTTTCTAGTGCACTCAAGCTTCTTTCATTAAGGGGTTCTTTATCGTGACATCACTGCCTTCGTTTTCTATAGATTCATAAGTCCACTTTCGATTATTCCTGGTAAAGAATGGATATCCTTAATGTCTGTGGGATAATATAGTTTGAATAGGTGGTTTCTTCTTATTGCAAACCTGCATTCATGTCCACACTTTGTAGCAGAACACTTGGGACAAGGAAAATGGCACCCTGCACAATTCAAATTTAGACAGTCGCAAAGATCGTCTCCTGTATGCACATAAGTGCCATGCTCGTCATACAAGGCGTGCCTCTTGTTACCCTGATATAATCGTCGGTGAAGCTTGCGTTTCTCTCTTTCACTCTGTTCAGGGTCGAAATTTCTAAGAAATTTTTTCGTCACACTGTCCACTCCCTTTAGACGCGGACCTCGAGTAGTTTTCTGTGATGAAAAGCGTGACAATGATTATAAGAAGATATGAAGCTCGAAACTTCGAAGCGCCAATGCATGAGAAACTTACTCTCTCAGCTCGAGGAGGTGTTTGTAAATTTGTGTTCGAGGAACTTTCACCTGAAGTCGTGTTTGGTGTATCCATATCTCCCATTTAAATTTTAATACAAAGTTTTTTGAATAACTCCGATTAAAAACGTCAAATTACATAACCCCTAAATGAACTAAACGTCAACTGGTACTTTCGGAAATTATATTCACTGTGTTACACGTACACAGGAACATTTACACTTTAATGAGGAGAAATGAAGAAATAAACTAATTTGAGGTATTATAAATTAAAAAATTAAGAAGGATTTTCTTTTTGATTAATTACTTCACATTTAATTGATATATAAAAAACTAATGTATCACAACAAGATATATTATATATAATACCACGTGCTTGGTACATCGGCGACACCTTTTAGAATTTCACGAAAATAATTCCTCTTCCTTTGAAATAATCATTTTTAGAATATAATATAAAAAATTAGTACTTTTTACAATTTTTTTATGTAATAAATGGATTCATAAAAAATAAAGAATAAATTAGAATGATAATTTTCGATATCTAAAGCATAGACGAGATATAAACCACAAACGAGGTACAGAATAGACCTAACATCTTATGGGACTTTTTGTCCGGGGCTTTGAGGCCGAGAAGACCCTTATCGTTTTCGTGTCGCTACCAACGTTACCGATTCAGTATAGTATAAAATTACAACGTTAGTAGTGGTTGGAATTGGAATTAAACGTAACTATAAAATTACAAATAAAAAAGTAACGTAATTATTTATTAGTTGAGGATTCGTCACATGTGCGTATTCTACTACTGTCAAAAGATCGTGAATAGTTCTAACCAAGCAATCTAATACATGTATGTATCTTTATATACAAATTTAATAAAAGAGGATTTTTTATATCAGTCGACTTTACCATCTTTGATGGTTGGATTGTATGTAATTCCTAAACTCACTGCTTTATATCGTAGAGGGCATAACAAAATCTCTGATTTTTTACACAGTTGGTATTTCAGAACGTTGGACACAAAAATACATTAGATGCAATGTCTATCCCGTACTCGTCTATGTGTGTACTTATCTCGTCAGTAATCTAAAATAACAAAAAATGGTAATGAATTATCGACAGCAGGTAATTGTTTCACATGGTCTCTAATCAATAGTTAGATGCCGCTGTTTAGCACGTGTTCAGCATCGTATAACCAATAATGCAGTATCGATAAAATATGACAACACTGAACAATTGTAGACACTTCAATTAAAAACAGGAATTAATATTTTAACCCAAGTGTTGAATTTTAAGATAAAAATAAAATGGCAAGGAAGAAGTATAATTGGAAAGCGAGAAATATTTCAACAGTTGAAATTGACAACTCTGCAACTAAAGAGGTATTTCCGTAACAATATAAGATATAAGAAAAAATGAATTAGATTTTTAGTAGCATATTTTTGAATAGATTTCCATAGATATCAAGCATCGTGAAGATAATTATGACACTTGCAATGCTCTCGTTCTTCCCAGTGAAAAGAGAAAAACAAAGAATAAAATTAAAAAAGTGGCCACGACTCGGTTACTATTCAAAAAACGCAGAAAAGAGTTGGAAAAAATTGTAGAAAAAAAGAAAAAAAAATTACGCGTAAGTCTAAATGTAGATTTTTTTTTTAAATTTTAATAATTTTAAATATCTTCTAATTTTGAATAGAGAGTTGAACTTTTGGAAGAATTGGCGAAAGTCCAAGCATCACAAGAAGAGCTAAAACAATATGTGTCTCTATCCAGTATGCAAACTAAAGGTTTAAAGCGTCACTTTAGGGAAATAGCATTTCCTGTTAAAGAATATGTTCCTATACCAAATGATGAGGTTGAAGATGATGCCTCGGAAGTGCATATAAATGCTATAAAAGGTAGTAAGAAGAGGAGACTAGCAATTTTGGAAGATCAGAGGAAGCAGAAAGCTGCTTCAGATCCAAATGTTCTTGGATTTGATGTAAGTTTATGGTTTTAATAAAATTAATATACATGTTAATAGCTATTTGCTTTAGGAATCTAGTGATACTGAATCAAAGCCCAATAGTAAAGAAAATAAAGACAAGCAGGAAGAAGAAGCATCTAAAAATGATGCAGTAGAAGAGAATGAAAAGGCTGAAGGAGGAGAACATGCTGAAAACAAAAGAAATGACCTTACAAAAAGTGATAGTCCAACAAAAAATAATGTAGAAGAAACAAAAGAACCATCTGTTATCACTGAAAATAAGGCATCTTTAAAATCACAAGAATCAATAGAAAAGAAACCTGCTGTGTTTGTAACATTGCAAAGAAAGCCAGAAATTCAATCAGCTAGAATGAAATTACCAGTGGTAGCAGAGGAACAGGTTATTGTGGAAGCAATTAATGAAAACCCTGTTGTGATAATCACTGGTGAAACAGGTAGTGGTAAAACAACTCAAGTGCCACAATTTTTATATGAAGCAGGCTATGCCCAAGAGAAATTAATTGGAATAACTGAGCCTAGAAGAGTGGCTGCCATATCTATGAGCAAACGTGTTGCAGAAGAAATGAATCTCACTGAGAAAGAAGTTTCTTATTTAATTCGTTTTGAAGGAAATGTTGGACCAGAGACAAAAGTTAAATTCATGACTGATGGTGTTTTATTAAAGGAGATACATAGTGTGTGTATTTATTTTGTTGAATTTAATGTAAATTTTATAAAGTAATAATAATGAGAGCTTTTTTTATATTTTAGGACTTTTTACTTACAAAATATTCAGTGATTATTCTGGATGAAGCGCACGAACGTAGTGTGTACACAGATATTTTAATAGGATTGTTGTCGAGAATAGTACCATTGCGTAATAAAAGAAAAAATCCTCTGAAGCTCGTGATAATGTCAGCTACATTACGCGTGGAAGAATTTATAGAAAATAGTAAATTGTTCAAAGTAAAACCACCAGTATTGTCAGTAGAATCGAGACAATTCCCTGTTACTATACATTTCAATAGGAAAACAAGCACCGATTATGTTTCTGATGCTTTGAAAAAGGCTGTAAAAATACATACTCGTCTTCCAGAGGGGGGTATCTTAATATTTTTAACAGGTACATTAAAAATAATTGTTTTTCTTTTTTAATTTTACAAGTTGCTATTATAAAAATATCATTAAAATTTAGGTCAACAGGAAGTGAATTTTGTGGTACGTAAATTGCGTAAGGCCTTTCCCATAAAAAATAAAAAGGAGTCTTGGAAGAAGTCAAAGGAATTGCAAGAAAGTGAAGATTTCTGGAAGAACGAGGAAAATTCTCAAGGCAAAGGCGATAATCACACTGAAAAAGACAAAAGTAATGATAATGATGACAATGACAATAGCGACGACGACGACGATTTTCGTTGCAAGAAGGCTCTTCGTTACAATAAATTGAGGCAAAAGAAGCAAATTCAGTTGCCAAAAATTAATTTAGACGAGTATGTATGTAACCCTACATACATTATTTTTTTCACAACTTCAATTATAAAATTCCTTTATTTTTAGTTATTCTGTGATCCCTACGGACGACACTCACGAGGACCTAATTGGTGCAGAAGACGACGAAGAAGTACAATTAGATGAAGATGAAGAAGAAGATGAGGACGTCATTGACCTAAAAACTTGTGCAAATGCACAACCATTGTGGGTTCTGCCACTGTATTCTCTTTTACCAAGTTACAAACAAGCAAAGGTACTTAAGATTTCATAAAAATATACATATCAATAATTAATGATGTAAACCAAGAAATTTTTGTTCTTAGGTGTTTGACCCACCTCCAAAAGGCTGTCGCTTATGCGTAGTGTCCACAAACGTAGCAGAAACCTCTCTGACTATACCCAATATAAAATATGTGGTAGATAGTGGAAAATGTAAAACAAGAATGTATGACAAAGTAACTGGAGTGAGTACATATAGAATTTGCTATACTAGCAAGGCATCAGCTAATCAACGAGCAGGTAGAGCTGGTAGAACTGGTCCTGGCCATTGTTATAGGTACTCATATTAAAATATGTAATTTTAAACAAAAATTAATTAAATATGTTTATTAAATAGTATGTTTTTGTAATTAAATATTTTTAGGTTATACTCTTCAGCAGTATTTAACGACGAATTTGAACAGCACAGTCAATCAGAAATTCAGAGGAAACCTGTAGACGATTTACTCTTACAAATGAAAGTAATGAATATCGATAAAGTAGTAAATTTCCCATTCCCAACGCCACCAAATATAGTGCAATTAAAAACTGCAGAGAAACGACTAGTAATTCTTGGTGCTTTGCAACAGCCTCCCCTTGACAAACAAGGTAGTGACACCACTTGGACACAGTATTGCTGTATTTCCAGTTGCCCCCCGTTATGGGAAGATGTTGGCTCTCTCTCATCAACATAATCTTCTGCAGTACACAGTGTGCATGGTTGCTGCACTATCTGTCCAGGAAGTACTGATAGAGGCTTTCGAAATAAATAGTGTTTCCAAAAGCAAGTGGCTTCAGATGAGGCGCTCTTGGGCTGGAACAGGAAATAGCTTACTTCTTGGTATGCAATCTTCATAGCTTTTAATATTATTCAATGTCATATAACATTAATTTGTATAAAATGTATTTTCTGCAAAGGTGATCCAATGGTACTCATCAGGGCTATAGGAGGTGCAGAATATGCTGGAACTAGAGGAAAATTACTTTCTTTCTGTGAGGAGCATGGTTTGAGACATAAAGCAGTCATAGAAATTAGGAAACTTCGACAGCAGTTGACAAATGAAATTAACTTGAATATACAGGACCTGAATCTCGTCATTGATCCATGGTATATATTAAATATACAGTTTTATATTCAAAAAAATAATTCTTATAGTAAACATTAATTCAGGATGAAACCTCCAGTTGATGCAGAGGCTAAACTACTCAGACAAATAGTGTTGACTGGAATGGCTGACCAGGTCGCGAAGAAAGTAATGCCAGATGAGGTTAATGAGGACCAAGACAAAGTTAAATGGAAATACGCTTACAAGTAAGCTTCAAGACCTTCTTAGCATATTCTAGATGTAAAATTGTACTCCTGTTTAGGACCACGGAAATGGAAGATCCAGTGTTCATGCACTCTTCATGTGTTCTTCGAAAAACATGTCCCGAGTGGGTGGTTTATCAGGAAATATATGAAACGAATAAAATGTACATGCGTGGTGTCACAGCCATAGAACCAGAATGGTTGCCAAAATTCGCTCCATCTTTATGCCGACTTGAAGAACCTTTAAGTGACCCTCCACCAAGGTTGGTGCGCATGCCTAACCTCACTTTCTTTTAAATTTAATTTATTATATTTTATATTTGCATAGGTACGACGCAGAGACGGGGAAGGTTGTATGTAGTGTAGAGGGAACGTTTGGAAGAGCAGCTTGGAAACTACCAGTAATTGATATGGAGTATCCATTATCTGTGGAAGGAGTGAAATGGTTCGCGTGCTTCTTCTTAGAGGGAAAAGTATGTCCAAAGTTGCAACAGTTCGTTCCTTTGTTACTATCAACACCTCAAAGCATTAACAAAACATGGGCTAAGTAAGTTTCTAACGCAGTACATAAAATTCAATTAAAGAAAAAAATGAAACAATGATTTTTAGGTTAATACCACGAACGCAACAAATGACACAATTATTATTATCACACGGAATCATGTCGAAAGAAAAATTGTTATGGACTTGGAAAATAGACAGGAATTGTAAGTATATGTCTTTTTATACATGAATACACAAGTAGGACAACAACAACAAAAGTAATTGTCATTAATTTCAGTCCTCTTGTCGGCTTATCAAAAATGGCTGCCTGAATCGGCTCATGGACACGTTACGGTCATTTGGCCACCTGTATAATAAATTTGATCACCTAAATTATGTTAATTGTATATTGTATATACTTGAATTTTTGTAATATACAAACATTTAGAATGTTTTAACAACCGTTTATTCAATGAAAACCGCAACGTTGCATACGATTTATTATTATGTAACTTAACTAGAAGCTCTGCTTTGGTTTTTGATGAAGTATACATTACGCATGTATAAATCATTATAATTCGATACATGGCACTTTCACGTCATTTTTAATAATAGCTGTTTTCTTTCTTGTTTTTTGTGTGTGTATGTTAATATATTATCATTGTCCTGTCCTACATTAACATCCGATATTCACTAATAGAACACAGCGATGCATAAAAATGCGTGTGATGATTGAAAGTATAATGAAAGTATTTACAATCCTTCGTGACTTCACTATAAATGAAAAATTTGCGCGATACACCGGTACACTAAACGTCCATTCTACACAGAAGTAATTTTTTCGGTTAAAGTTATTGGCAGTGCTATTACATTCGTAAACATTTCACCAAACGTCTAGAAACATTGATTAGGTCATTCGGCCTTCACAGCTTTTTTTTCCTTCCTCTTGATCGGATTTTTTTTACAATCTTTGTAGACATTGTTCAGGTCAAATGCTGCTTTTATATTGTCCTGTGAACATTTCTTCTTTCAATAAGTGTAATAGGATTGAAAGATGTGGAAAATTGTATCACACATACCAATGAAAAAAGGAATTTAACCAATTTGCCTTTATGATCCGCGTATGGACGTCTTTCAGATTCTTTCCCTTCTTTAAATAAAATTAAAGTAGGAAGCTGTTTGCTGGTGCTGGCATCACTGATGTGATACTTCACCCCTGCATCTGGATACCTTCCTATGTCCACTTTTCCAAACTTTAGATTCCCCAAAGCATACCTAAATATTTATTACATGTTATTTTCAAAGAATTAAGCAGTTGTCGATAATGTAAAAAAAATGTCACAAACTCTGCAGAAAGCTCAGAAAATATTGGTGCAAAATTAACACAAGCTGGGTTCCAAGCTGTGTAGAATGCAACCAGCCAAACAACTCTTGTATCACGATGCAATTCTTCCTGTAATCCATTTGCACCTCGTAGATAAGTTACTTTTTCTGGGCCCTGATATGTTGGCTCTGGGAATAGTAGACCACACACTGCAATTATTTAATCATTCAGTAATAATTAAATTTAAAAGGTTATCATGTTATAGAGAGGGTGCATACAAATGAATATAATTGCAAATATTATTCCCATGCGAATATCCGCATAGAACCAAAGAATCAAGTTTGCTACTTTAGTGTAAACAAAACTGGATGATAAATAGCTTATCATAGTAACACTTCCAGTTTTTCGTGTCCTTATCATTATGACTATCATGAGAAAAAACAGAATCTCTGTTTCCCTCTGAAATGAGAACAGATCTATCATGTAACATATGCTCTGCATAAATAATTCAACAATGTTTTTTTTACTTTCTAATAACTCACCCCGTCAAGTTCACATTCAGCTTGCACAAATACATAATTACACACAATTGGTACACGCTTTGAGACAATATACGAAAGGCTGAGTAAAATGTTCATGAAATAGTAAGGCTTCAATAAAAGCCGCAAATCTTTTTTAAACGGCATTCTTGCAAAACCAAATTTTAGGTTATATACGATTGCGATTAAAACTATCTATTTTATGGGAAAATATTTTTATTTCAAGGATTGTTCAACTTTCGACAAAACGTGTTTTATTTAATATATATGAAAATACTTTGAACAATTCGTGGAAATTTCTTTCTTTCTCTTTAATCTGCAACAAAAATAGTGGAAGCTCTCCTCTACATCGATTATAAATTGCTAATGTCAATAAACTCTTCCATGTTTACTCGACACCGAAATGTTATGAAGATTATTTCGTAAGATGTACTTATTAAACGTGACACAAAATAGTGAGCAAAATTAGTATAAACGTAGCATGATTTCACTTCGAGGAAGTAAGTGGTAAATTAAGGAAGAGTAATTGGGTAGTCCCATTGGTCGACGAATTATAGCATTTAAAATAAACAGCATAAATTATTATAATCAATTATACTAACTATTACTTAATGAATGTATTAAATTGTGTAAGTAATTTATTCAAATAAATTTGAATTATTTATTGATCAGTATCGATGATAATTCAAATAAATTAAAAATAATCTACTTCGTCTGTGGTTAGAGTAGAAATTACGGTCGAGATATGTATCGTTGATAAGACAAGGTATTGTAGCTGATGAGAATACATTTACTGGATCTATTATCTCACTGAATTTTTCCACAAGCTTGATAAGATATCTGACACACTCTAGACATATTTATTTTTGTGAACATATTTCATTAATTACATACCACCTTATTTATTACAATTAAATATCTTATGGACAAATTTGCAATGAAAATGATTCATGAATTATATTTCAGGCAAATTATACTTCTTATGGTTCACTGACATCAATAGATTCTTAAAAGTTTGTTACTAGGAAGCATTATGTTAAAACAATACTGTAACTATACATGTCATATCAGAGATATATCCCCACCTTGCTTATGAACAAAGATCAATGTATTCTCAATATATACTGGTCGATAGTCTTCTAATGCAGCTTTAAACATGAAGTTCCTGTTTGTTATCTGTCTACTTGCACACATCTGCTTAGTATCTTCTGCTGCTAATAAAAACATTCCTTTGGTAGTTATTACATGGGATTATGAAGGAGCTACACAGAAAGGTAACTGCTTTCAGGAAAAATAATTTTACATTGGTGTCTTACTGGTTTACTTAGTAAGAGTCTATTTTCAGCATGGAATATTTTGAACAATGAAAAGAGAAGTGCTTTAGATGCCATAGAAGAAAGCTGCAGTCTCTGTGAGCAGCAAAGATGCAGGAAAACTGTGGGATATGGAGGCAGTCCAGATGAGTCTGGAGAAACCACTCTAGATGCCCTAATTATGGATGGGTATATTTATCATTTATTCATACACTTAAAGATTCTCTAATTTCTCTAATAAAATACTTCATTTAACAGGGTTACCATGGATGTAGGTGGTGTAGGACTTTTAAGAAATGTTAAAAATGCAATTTCTGTTGCTCGCAAGGTATTGCATAATACTAAACATTCTTTGATTGGTGGAGAATTGGCCACACAATTTGCACTGGAAATGGGATTCAAGGAAGAATCCTTGCAGACAGTAGAGTCAAAGAAAATGTGGGAAGATTGGAGAGATAATAATTGCCAGCCCAATTATTGGAAGGTAAGATAGTTTTAGCACAATTTCTGAACTATTCAACATTCTCAAATTACATGTATTTTTCCAGAATGTGGTTCCAGACCCAAAACGAACCTGCGGCCCATACCGTTCAGCAAACATAACAGAAAACAGTTTGAAAGACCATGAATCACATGTGACAGAAGAAAACCATGACACAATTGGAGTAGTAGCTATAGATTCGAATGGACACATAGCAGCTGGTACATCGACAAATGGCGCCAGAAATAAAATTCCTGGCCGCATTGGGGATTCACCCATTGCAGGTGCAGGTGCATACGCTGATCAAAAAGTTGGTGCAGCAGCTGGTACTGGTGAAGGTGACATCATGATGCGCTTTTTACCCAGGTGAAGGAACAATTTAGTTAATAATGTTATTTTTCTAAAATCTTTTAGGACAAGAGCTTATGGATACTTTCTTTTATAGTTTCCTGGCGGTGGAGGAAATGCGTCGTGGCGCTACTCCCACCGAAGCAGCAACCACAGCAATCGCTAGAATTGCCGAACACTATCCTACATTTACTGGCGCAGTGATTACAATAAATAAAAATGGAGAATACGGAGCTGCGTGCAACGGAATCACTCGTTTCGCTCATTATGTTGCTAATCCCAAATTAGGGAAACCAACTTTGCGTTATGTGAACTGCATAGATGCCACATATCAAGTTGTTAATCTATGAAAATCTAATTGCCATTTTCTAAACTTAGCATTTGTTATGAAAATGTTAATTGTATATTTTTAATAAAATAAGAGTTGAAAGAACTGCATAAATATAATGGACTATATTATTATTAAACAAATAATAGAATTAAAACTTCAATTAATTGAATTAAATTTACTTACGTTGCATTCCGTCAGATGGCAGGGCCTTCGTCGCATTTGTTGACGGAGATGATATTTTTTACGCGATGACACTTTTTATCGAAGAACTTAATGACAAATGTTAAGTTAATAATTGAATTGTGTGAACTTAGGCGTATGTAAAGTACATACTTCGATCTTGAACATCGTAATTTTTTCCCGTTTCTATTTTGCGTGGAAGTTCCATTTATATTAACAAACTAACCTCAATCTGTAAAGGGAACAATACACAACAAAAATGCCAGAAACAACGGAAGAGGACATGGGGATGTCGGTTCGTTTGACAAACGACGACTTCAGAAAATTGTTGATGACTCCAAGAGCATCTGTTCCATCTGCCACTCCTGCTTCTGTACCTGGTACTGCTCGAGATGCCAGTGCAAAAACTGCACAGACTCCCAATGTCAGTGGTGGTAGCCGAGCAGAGCTGAGAAGGAAGAAGAAAAGCTTCTATGCCAAGCTGAAGAAGCAGGAAGAGGATAAGATGGCAGAATTGGCAGAAAAGTACAGAGACAGGGCAAGAGAACGTAGGGATGGTACAAATCAGGATTATCAGGCAGAGGATCCCATGAATAGTGCCAGTGCATACCGTGCTGTTGCACCAGATTTGAAGTCTGGAATGGATGCAGCTGAACGTAGGAGACAGATGATTCAACAATCTAAATTCTTGGGTGGTGATATGGAACACACTCACTTGGTGAAAGGGTTGGATTATGCTCTCCTTCAAAAGGTATGAGCTTATATTATGATTTAATTTAACAAAATATGAATTTACTAAGAAAAATATTTTGTTTCATAGGTAAGGAGTGAAATAGAGGCAAAGGAGCATGAACAGGAACAAGAAATGGAAAAACTAGTAAAACCAAAGGATAAGAAGGAGAAAAAGGAGGGGGAAAAGAAGGATGATGAGATGCAGTTTAAGACCAAAATAGGACGTAATATATATAGAACCATAATGACTATGAAGTCCAAACAAATTGAAAGAAATGAATTATTCACACCTGGTAGAATGGCTTATGTAATCGAACTGGATGATGAAAATACGGACGTGGATATACCGACTACGTTAATCAGAAGCAAAGCGGACGTGCCTACCATAGACAATACTCCGACCTTAACAACAAACGACATTGTAATAAATAAATTAGCGCAAATCTTGTCGTATCTGAGACAAGGCAATCGTCATGGGAAGAAGGGAAAGAAGAATAAGGATGGAAGGTCCAGACCTGATGATATGAATGACATGGACATTGCACCAAGGCCCCAAGATGAAAGCATTTATGGAGACATTGGTGATTATGTACCAACAATTGGCAAGAAAGATTCAAATCAACAAAGAGAGAAAAAAAAGAGCTCTTACTTTGACAAACCAGAAAACAGCATGGACACAGATGACAAAGCAAATACTCCACAGTTACCAAGTGTTGCACCTTCCAGTACAGAGAACAATGCTCCAAAGAAAGGTGCATTGCTCAATAAACTGGCTGCAGAGCCAGAAGGTTATGCAGAGTGTTACCCAGGTCTGGACGAGATGCAGGATGCCATTGATGACTCTGATGATGAGGTAGATTACACCAAAATGGATCTTGGCAATAAAAAAGGTCCCATTGGTAGGTGGGACTTTGATACACCTGAAGAATATAGCGAGTACATGAACAACAAAGAAGCTTTGCCAAAAGCAGCATTCCAGTATGGAGTAAAAATGGCTGATGGAAGGAGGACAAGAAAATACAACAAAGAGAAGAACGAGAAAGCTGAATTAGATAGAGAATGGCAGAAGATCCAGAACATTATGAACAAAAGGAAACCCACGACTGTGTTGGATGGTACTTCAGAATTCAAAGTACCTAGATACTGAATATTTGAATGTATTGGCACAGCCTTTAAAACAACGTCCTTTTTTAAAATTGTACCAAACGACTTCAGTTGTTTTGAAAAGTTAGAAAGATTAGTTTACTAGATGATGTGTACAACAAATTTTGAAAAAATTGCAATTTGTAGGAATCGCGAAGAAAATTGTAAAAGTCACTCTTTACAACGTTTTTATCTGAGCTTGTAGTGAAAATTTAAAAAATACGTTTTATAGATTTATGCCACTTATATACATGCTGAAAATTTCATCTTTTGAAAATTGCAATTTTTTTTACACGTCATCTAGTAATCTAAACTGATCCTTCTAACTTCTCAAAAAAACACAAGTCCTTTGGTCCAATTTTAAAAAAGTTATTGTTTTAAAGGCTGTGCCAATACTTTTTTGATTGACTGTATTTATAGTTAATTTGTATTCCTTTAAAATATTATATTATGTATATGTTGTAGAATATGATTGATCTATTCAATTGATTATTAAAAAAAAAAATGTAAACAGTTAAGAACGCAATAATAAAGACTGTACAATATTTTCAGAACAGCTTGGTTTGTTTAATCATGCAACATTGCGTTGCTAAAATTACAATATTTAAGCATGGAGAATTACGTAATTTATTTTATTCATCTCGATCACAAATCTAGACCCTGGTGACCTGAAACCGGACAGAACCGGAACGAAACTGTTGGAGTAAACAACCTATCAATGACCTATGACCAATCAATATGCAAGAAATTTTCATTCGAACGCGTTTGAACTGGTTCCAACTTGGCCTATTGATAAAATGTTATTAATTCACATACGGATGCATTTTACATGTTGCATCAACTAACTTGAGATTTAAACATTCTGAATTATTCCCCTAAATATCAACGAATGATTTTTATACTCCAAAATATGTGCAATAAAAAAATTAAATTCCAGAAAAATCATGCGAATTTCATTCCCACTTATTGTATTCAATTTAATTCAAATATAATGCTACAATTATCTACATGATTATTCTAATATCAGAATAATTAGTTATCAATCATCATTGTCAATGATAAGTACTGATTACACAATAAGCCCTGATTTCCTCCAATTTTTCAGCATTTATAGTGAATTAATAATTAATGAAAACTTATTTATAACCAAATTGTACGCTCAATTACATGTTATATCTCAATAACAAGCCATTAATTGGATCATTTATTTCCCCTTATGCTACAAAATTCGATAAACAGTTATATTCAAGCAATAATCAATATTAAATAAATCAGTGCCTATCGATGCTTCCCAGAAATCGGTAAAGTGATCTCTTCAAGAGATGGGGAATCACAGTTTAAGGTTTACGTCGCTCATTCAAGAGCAAAATAATAAATGACACGCAAGATAAATTAAAGGGGGGAGGGCAATAAGCGAGAAGAATACAAAAAAATAAGTTCTTGATACTCGTGGCTGATACTACCAGCTTATATAAACGTTCCGCGTTATAGCCCTGTTCAGTCAGGTAGTGGTAACTGTTACTACTGTCAAGTGGACAGTCTGTGAAGTGAATGCAAGAACTCAAGACAAGTGGAGGACTCTTTCGAACGTTCAAATGATATTCTGATGCTGCTTTTGAAGAACTTCCTCTCCATGCGCTCCTACGTCGTGAACAGCGTAAGATTAATTTTCCTTGAATTAGTAAACACTATTGTTTACACCGCACTGACATTTGTGTCGCTATAAACATAGGGTTTATTAGAATATATCATGATATAGTTTGAGATAGCATATTGGAGATAACCGTGGTGAGAGTAGATCTATCATAAATCTAACGCTAATTGCATACACTGCTGGTAGATGGAGGTTTCTTTATTTTCTTTTGTACATATACTAGATTGGTAAATAGACTTTCCCCTTGCACACAGCTTCCTCAATCTACCGTCTTCTCTTTGCAGTTCGCTTAAGAATCGTACGGTGAAAGTTACGCGGGAGAGTGTTGACGCGTTGCAAGTAGGTATGTATATATGTACTCGGTGCAAACTGGTCGCTAATAATTAGCATGCTTGATATTTGGCTGTTGAACTGGCTGGAAAATAATTGAATCGATGAGGTCAGATACAACATAAGTCAATTTTTTTTTTTAAATGAAGTCATGCATTAAAGGATATGTTCACATTTAAATGGCTTCATATCAAAATGAGTACAGAAACAGCATAAATAATATGTAATACGGATAGTGATCTACAAAATAAGAGCAGAAAGAACCCAATTTTTAGTTTGAGATTGTAGCTTTATTATGGTCTTATAAATTTAAATTAAAATAAAATCATATTAAATAAGTTTTCTTGTACTTACTTTGGGTTATTCATATATTTAGTGCAGGAACATAAGTGGTAAAAGTTCAAATAAAAATATCATTATTATAGTTCACTTTGTCATTGTTGACATTGTCATATCAAATATCATTAAAATTACACTGTTAGCATAATATTAAAAAAATATCAATTTAAAAAAAAAAAGTTTTGTCTTTTTTTCTGAAAAATTAGTTAGTAGTGACTTATGCTGCTTTTGATCTCAACGATTCAATTCGAGGTGTTAAAAAATATTATTCTGAGGTCAGTCGGCTCAATAATCATCTTATAAATTAAAATTAAACATTCAGACGGCGATGGCGCAACTAAAGGTGGCCATAATCGGCCAGAGCCCCTTCGCAGCTGAGGTTTACAAGCTCCTTAAACAAAACGGTCACCAGATCACAGGGGTCTTTACCATCCCTGACAAAGGAAACAGAGAGGATCCTCTAGGTATGTATATGTACTTAACCCTACTACTGTACCACCATTATAATCTTAAATTTCCAAACTTTCTAAGATTGTCATTAATTTAATTACAGCCATAACTGCAAAAGCAGACAGTACTCCAGTTTTCAAGATCAAATCTTGGAGGAACAAGGGCACGACCTTACCAGAAGTTCTTGACCTGTACAGGGGAATAGAAGTCGACCTCAATGTCCTGCCATTCTGCAGTCAATTTATCCCCATGGAGGTTATCAATCATCCTCGTCATCGAAGCGTATGTTACCATCCGTCCTTGCTGCCCAGACATCGTGGAGCTAGCGCCATAAGTTGGTCAGTGACTCTGAAATAATAATAACAATGTGTTACGTGATTGCAATAGCATAATGTCATAAATGAGAGCGATTATCTGTCGAGTGAGAAAGTGGGGAGACACTAGAGACGTAAATCGAGGCGCACGCGGATCGTGAAACCGGTTCGTCTCGGTTTTCATTCTCACTGCTATCAGAATGCATAATGCGCGTTTGTTCTGTGGTTGATAAGCCTATTGATAACTTAGCCAGGCATTACTGAACAGTCATTTTGCCATGTAATGCAATTTTCTTGCTAATTCATTGCTATTTTTGTACAATCCTTAGGACTCTGATGGAGGGAGATCACATAGCAGGTTTTTCCATCTTCTGGGCTGATGATGGTCTTGATACAGGACCAATTTTACTGCAGCGATCATGCAAAGTGGAGCCTAATGATACTGTAGACTCACTGTATAATAATTTCCTTTATCCTGAGGGTATCAAAGCCATGGCAGAGGCTGTGGAACTGATAGCCAAGGGAACTGCTCCGAAGATACCTCAAACAGAAGAAGGAGCCACTTATGATCCTATGTTGAACAAGAAAGAACTGCAAAAGATAGACTGGTCCAAACCAGCCAAGAGGATTCATGACTTTATTCGTGGTCTTGATAGCACTCCAGGTGCCTGGACTACCATAAATGATAAGGAGGTCTGTCTCTTTGGATCCAGTTTGTGGAATGACAGTACGGCACCCCAGCATGAGACTCAGGTGAATGTGGAAGATAGAATAGGCATCATTCATGAGGGTGGATTGCTCATACATACTATAGACGACAAATTTGTGAATGTGGAGAGGATTAAAATTGGTACAAGGACTATTCCTGCCAATAAATTTAATCAGAAGAGTGAAGATATTGTGATTGAGTTCACAGAGGAGGAGCAGCAGTCTGTAGAGACTCTGAAACACATTTGGATGGGCATCTTGAACATTGATGTTGATGAAGAGACTGACTTCTTTGCTTCTGGTATGTTAAATAAAAATGTCAAGATATTAAAATAGTCTAATATTTAATTTTTTATTGCAGGAGGTGGAAGTATGGACGTTGTTAGGTTAGTAGAGGAGATCAAGGACAACCTGGGAATAACTTTACAGAATATTGATGTATTCATGGCACCAGTGTTCCTCCAACTTGCTACCACAGTAATTCTGGCAGCTAGAGGTGTCTCAGCTTCCAAGGACATTAAATATGATGCAGTGGAGATGCAAGCAAATAATATGACCCTGAAGTTTCCCAAGCAGTTGTTTATCAATGGAGAATTTGTGAATGGCCAGGGAAAACCTATAGATACAATCAATCCTCATGATGAGAGTGTCATCTGCTCTGTTGAATGTGGCTCTGTCCAGGATGTGGACAAGGCTGTGAAAGCTGCTAAGAAAGCTTTTGAGGAAGGAGAGTGGAGCAAGATCAGTGCTAGGGATCGTGGAGCTCTTTTATTCAAGTAACTTATTTAGAATGACCTGCTGTTATATTGCCTCTATTTTTCTAAAGTGTTCAGTTAATTTTTAATATACTTTCAGGTTAGCAGACTTGATGGAACAACATAAAGAAGAATTGGCCACCATAGAAAGTCTTGACTCTGGTGCCGTGTACACTCTGGCCTTGAAAACCCACATAGGAATGTCTGTAGAAGCTTGGAGGTACTTTGCAGGCTGGTGTGACAAAATTCAAGGCTCCACTATACCAATATCCCATGCCAGGCCAAATCGTAACCTTACCTTCACTAAAAAGGAACCTATTGGTGTCTGTGGTCTTGTTACTCCATGGAACTATCCTTTAATGATGCTCTCTTGGAAAATGGCAGCTTGTCTAGCAGCAGGCAACACTGTAGTAATGAAACCTGCTCAGACTTCACCTCTGACAGCCTTAAAATTTGCAGAGCTTACTGCAAAAGCTGGTTTCCCTCCTGGAGTGGTGAATATTGTACCTGGAAACGGTATAGTTACTGGAAATGCAATCTGTGAGCATCCTCTGATTAGAAAATTGGGTTTCACTGGGTCTACACAAATAGGACAGTCCGTAATGAGGTCCTGTGCTGACAGTAATTTGAAGAAAGTGTCTTTGGAGCTGGGTGGCAAGAGCCCATTAGTCATTTTTGAAGATGCTGACATCCAACAAGCAGTCAAGGTTGGAATGAGCAGTGTGTTCTTCAATAAAGGCGAAAATTGCATAGCAGCAGGTATATTTTCTAACTTCTGTAACAAAGTCATCACTGAAAAAGGTTGAAATACTATCTTTTTTATTTTTCACAGGTCGATTGTTTGTTGAGGAGTCAATTCATGATGAGTTTGTCAGGAAAATAGTAGCAGAGACCAAAAAAATCTCCATAGGAAATCCCCTGGACAGGAGTACAGCTCATGGCCCACAGAATCACAAGACTCACATGAACAAGCTGCTGCAGTTTGTCCAACAAGGAGTCAAAGAAGGAGCTAAACTGATCTATGGTGGCAAGAGGCTAGACTGTCCAGGCTGGTACTTTCAGCCAACAATCTTCACAGATGTTAATGATAACATGTACATAGCAAAGGAAGAATCTTTTGGTCCTATCATGGTTATCTCCAAATTCAGCTCTAAGAACATGGACGAGATGATTGTCAGGGCAAATAATACAGAGTATGGACTGGCTTCAGGGGTCCTGACAAAGGATATCAACAAAGCTCTGAGATTTGCAGAGAAAATAGAGGCTGGAACTGTGTTCATTAACACTTATAACAAGACAGATGTGGCTGCACCATTTGGAGGCTTCAAGATGTCTGGTTTTGGCAAGGATCTGGGTCAGGAGGCTCTGAATGAGTACCTGAAGACAAAGACAGTCACTATAGAATACTAAAAGGTTCATTTGTCTTCATCTCTTTACACAATTGCAATTTTTTCTCAGTGTCTAGATTTGTTTTTCACTCTACATGCATCGCACACGTGTTTCTTGTTTTAAATCTCACATCTTCTACTTATATTTAGAATAAATTTTTAATATATGTATTTTGTACATATGTGTTATTTTTATTGACTGAGAAAATATAATCGTTATTTCTCTGTGAGAATACTGTATAGATAGATCAGAGCAAAATCTTGCTCTCACACAAACGATGCTACCATAAACAGTTTTTCCTACGCTCTGTCGAAACTCCAGATGCTTCAACATGGTTTTTTGTTCAGGGAGAAATGTGCTGCTGGCCGTTACACCATTATTCCCTTACAAAATCTCTCTCTCTCTCTCTCTCTCTCTCTCTCTCTCTCTCAGCTATTAATCTATTTTCTCAGAAGATGATTTTGGGGTATTCTCTTTTGTGCACCAAATGCAATGATGTATTACAGAATTGCAATAGGTAAAGTGAATGATAGAATATGTTGCAATCTTTATTCAAAACTGCTTATTGATAGCTAACAAATTCTATGGAAGTAAAAATTGTAACTGTCACTTAATATTACATCTACATTTGTTTTTCTTTTGCTTAAACAGAAAGTATAAAAATGTATTGTCAAGAGTATTGAATTATTAATCAGTAAAATATTGAATATTAAAATATGAAGTATTAAAATAATACATAATATTAAATATTTTATACGGAGCACGCGAAACACTAACCAAGAGACTAGCAAAGACAAACTTTCTTCCAAAAGTTGATGGATAGGTGCTGCTCGTACCTGAGAGCTTGTCCTAATCCCCATAAAGGTTATGTAAGTAGGTGTGCGCATGGTCAACAACCCCACAAAGTAGGGAACAGCTGTTCTCATAAACATATCGTCTCTCTTTGCTTATCTTTATCCTTTGGGCCAACCCCATCCAGGAAACAGTCCCATGGCAATTCTAAATATCATACTCTCTTTCTAAGATCCCGTTTCTACGATAGCGTTTGACGTGAATTTATGGTCGCTCTTAATTTCCAGAAATTATTTCAAACCCATGGTAAAGGAATTTACCGATTCAATTCTTTCCGGCGATCACGAACACAATTTTTTTTCATTCATAATGTTGTAATGAAATTTTTTTCGAGGACTAACGTATTAATTCAAAGACAGGACGAATGTGGTTCCTCCATGCAGCATTATTCATCGTGAACAGGAAATGCAAATTTTTCTCTACAATTTTTTGGTAGCTCTTCTAGATAAATGATAAAGCCTCCAAAATGACTCTCAATGATTCTCAAGATTGTGTCTAAACCCTTCTAAAATTTTATATAATTTAGTGTAAGTCAATTTTCAATATTTAATTCAATTTTATGGAGTTTCCTATGCTTTTGACAATGAAGTGTAGATTTTAAACAATCAAATTAAACTTCTAGCGTTCCCAAGAATACAATTACATTTGTACCACATTTAAGAACAGTATACATATATGATAAACGAAACTTCTAATATTTTCCAAGTACAAAGTATATACAGTGTGATACACATAAGTGAAACAAGTCATATCTCTTTTTTGATTGCAATTAGAGAAAAATTGTGAATTTCTAATAATTCTAAGAACAAACATAAAGGTTAAAGTAACCATTAGAACCTTCCTCGATACTCATCAATGAAATTTTCATTTCTTCTAACAACGTACTATGCCTGAACAGTATATATAATAACATGTGAAGTGTACAAACATCGGAAAATAGATAATCACGGGAATCAACGCAATAACAAGGAGACCGTATGGAGTCGCGTTTGTAGTGAAATTAATGCGGCCAAAATCCAATTTGCGATCCACTTAGCAATTCCATTGGCCAGCCCCTGCGAGGAAAGGCCACGCATCCGTGTCCAAGAGTCGCGGGTCCCCTCTTCTCTTGATGGAGCCCAGCACGTGTTTCTCTCTTTTTCTCGGAATCCTCCCCTTCCCGTTGCTGTTCCGCAAATCAAGTTCACCGTTCAGTTGCCCTCGAGACGTCGTGTTGGATAGTTGTATCACGTCGTATCCGCCATTATAATTTGCACGTTCCAATATACAAACATTTAGTTATCAAAACAGTGCAGTGGTTGAGGTTTATAAAATTAACCCAATTGATATTATTCACGTCATAATTATATTAATGATTTAATTATTATTTCTCTAAAAAATAAAAGAAGAAATTGTTCTTGTTAACAATTCTTACGAAGCGCATACATATATTGAACGAAAAAGAAAATGTGTTGTTTTAGCATGGTAGTGTGTGAAGTCAGACCTCTATTTTCCTGTGATCTCGCTGGATATCGCGCTGGGCGGAAACGAATATCTTTCTGTGGGCCACGCGCGTTCGGTAAGCCGATCTATCGGGTGTTCCATCAAGCAGGGATATCTCCTGGACCAAATGTCGTCAATTTTCATTCGGATACAGTATTTTTTAGACAGTTTCATAGTGTATTTTCTTCTTAAAAAGTAGATTTACAATTTAATTATTTTTTAATATTAAACAAAAGTAGTTTTTGGTATTTAAAGAAATTTTTTAGATGGTAATGTCCTGTCGTTTATCTACATTCAAATACATCTTTTTGAATACTGATATGCTCCTATTTCATGGTTTCATAGTTCAACGATTTCACTATTTCTTAATAATTGAACGAATTGTTTATTGAAACAATTTTGAAAAATATTACCAAGAACATCCTTCTAATGTATTTTATATTATTAATTAGATTGATTATGAAATTCGAATGGTTTTGATTAAGTTATTGCTGGAAATGGTTTTGGATAGTGCAGCTGTCGCGTATTGTAATTATAGCGTAAATATAAATGAACTTTGCAGACAGGTCAAGGCTCGACTTAACTGGCCACTGCGTCCAGTGTTCTTTTCATTCTGAATTGATTCCATGTAGCTGGAACAGACTGTAATACAGTTCATGAAATCGCATGGTGAATTTTTTTCGAATAGAAAAAGTGGCGTTCAAGGGGCTCTGAGCGAATGGCGTGGTGCTTGGACGCTGGCTTGTTAATTCACTCAAGAAAAATCAACCGTAACATGGCGGGTATGAGTCAGCCTGAGTCATAACTATACTATATAACTCGCTGAGAGATTCTTGTCGGGGATCTTCAAAGCATTTCCAACACAGAATTCATATACTGGCCGAGACTTGCAAATTCTTCGTTGGATAATTGTTTAACACCCTGTAGATCAATATATAAGCCCCATTGTTGATAATAGTATACTTCAGAGAATACATTTAACGTGTAGAAGAGAAAAAGAAACATATTTCGTTTCTGATCTAATCAGAGTCATGGTGTTTGAATGACGAAGCGATTTTCCATTCGTTGTGATTCATTTATTCGTGAGACGAAAGCAGCCAGAGACCCTTATCATCGGTCCACGTAGAAAAATTTACCAGGTGGTCCTGTAACGCTGAATGCATTTCCAAGGCCTCATGTGACCCGCAATTGCACAATCGAACGTTCGCCCTGCGAGCACAGTAGCTGATAATGTTTTAGATTACAGCGTACCATTGTTTAGCATCGAGGAAAGAATAAAGGGGGCCCTTTGTTGCCAAACTTCTATACCTTCTTCTATTAAATTTACTTTTTATTACATTAATAGCATAAAAGTTAATATTTTTCTCACTGATCTCTCTGATATTTTTCTTGTCAATATTAAAAAAGAAAAATGTTCTTTATTTATTTTTGCCATTGACATTTTTCTGGTTAACTCTGTGAAAATCCTCTGCAAAACTATTCCTTGGAGGAATAAAATGAAAGGAACAACGTGGTAACACGTGAAACACTGAAGCCCAAAGACATCCTCGTCCTCCGCCATGCGTGAAGCAGATGTTCATGTTTCGCTTGGCGCCAACCGGGGGAGCCCCGCGAGCTCCATGGGGGAAAAAAGATACGACTAGAAAACGTACGGAGGGAAAAACACTCGCTCAGGTCAAGGGACGCAGGCAATAGTATCTAACGAACTAGAAAAATCCTCTGTAACCGTGTCAAAAGATACCAAGCTGACCCTTAAATGCTACACGCGTCAAAGCGCGCTTTGCCGATCGAGGCTTCCTCTTCAGCCCACTTTGATCAACATTTTGCAGCGGTACTGAGCGATATATTCATCCAATTAACATTTTACATTGAGAAAATGAATCTTCTTCAATTCAAGCTGCTCCACTTCTCGATTATTGTGCAGGAATTTTATTCAAACTTATTTATGATAAATAATAAGAGTTGTGTCTTGTTCTTCAATTATTCGTGTAAATCATTTTAAACATGTCCTAAACTGAAGGAAATTAAATTGTACAGGACTTAACGGTAGAATTGCAGCAAGAAATCTATGAAAGATTAATTTACCTCTCATTTTCTTCACTATTTGTTGAAATTCAAGTTTTTAATGGAAACAGTAAGTTACAGAATCACAGTAGGGAGATCAAAGGATTGATTTTTTTTCTTTTTCTTTCATTCGGAGTATTGTTAGCTGTCTTTTACAACTTTAAATCTATGTAACTATTTTACATAATGATAACAGGAAGAAGTTTGAAAAAGGAATCTCAAGATGTCACCTTTTACCATTATTTCAGCTTGGAATTCATAAAGAAGGAAGTGTGCAAGGTTTCTGTATCTCTTATTGTTGTGCTTAAAGAGCTAAATCTATGAAGGTGATATCTCGGCTGATGCAGCTACCCGCCCCTTCCTGTTTCCTCTTCACAAGTAGCTAGCTAATCTCTAGACCACAGCTTCCTGTGGGTGGAGAAGCTGTTCAGTTATAAAGTTTCTGGTCAAATGTGAAAACTGCTCAAACAAAAGGCACCCTCTGACTAGTCTACACCACTTGTGCCACTCTTCTTCTTCTTCTTCTTCTTCTTCTTCTTCTTCTTCTTCTTCTTCTTCTTCTTCTTCAACAGCTGTTCGGAAAAAAAAGTTTCAGTGTTACGATGTGCAAAGTGTCAAAATTTAATTCTACATAAAGTGTGAGTGTTAAAAATTGAATCTGACAGTTGGACAGTGACTGTGGGGACAGAGAAAGGCAAAAT